AAAAAAAAAAAAAAAGTATATATAAAATATATAGTGAATATGCCTACCCCATTATCCACTTTTTCAGAAAGAAGTTTGGCAGAGTGTTCCAGTTGCACATTTTCATTAACTGCTCTAGGGTCTACCGTTTTATCCTCATGTTCCACAAGGTCTAGAGCCCCTTCGGCTCTGGAGTCCATAGAATGCGATCTAGTTCTCTTGGGAACTCTGGAAACATCCAGTGTAAAATCTTTTTCTTGGTTAACATCATTTTTTTGTTCTGCCTCTTGAGCTACTGGGGCTTCAGGTTCTGGTGATACAACCACATTGTTCTCTGACACAGATCCTTTCCACTCAAGAGATTTTGAAATCTGTGGGTCATAGTAAGGGACTCTTCGTTTTGAAATAAAACTTGGTTCTTTCGTGATTCCTATAAAACACAACATATGTAAAAACAAACACAGTTACACTAAGGCACAAAATTACAAAGACAATCTCTAATAACATCATTAGAGAAGAAATTGAACTTTAAATTCAGATGATCTCTATAAAATATACTTCAGGTTACAGAATGCAAAAATACATAGTTTTTCAACATAAAGTCTTCAGTTTTGCCTTAAAGAAGCATTAAAAGTTTGGCCATAACAAAATATTAAAAATTGGGGTCACAACATTTAAGTTATCCAACACAGGCCACTGGAGCCACAACGTGATGGACTTGGCAAGCCAGAAAGCACATGTGGTTTCAGTTTCCAATTACTTTCCAGCGCTACTTAATACAACACTGGGTCTTGATACTGCCAAAACTTGGAACTTATCACAAAGCTTCTCTTATGCAGAATACACCAAGATGAGAAGGGATAAATGTCATCATACTGGATCTTAGTTCTACAGTAGCCTTGATTTCCTGAGAATTAAAAAGAATGAACCCTTTTTCCCAGAGCTAAGATATAATTTCACTAAATTTCTGTCTGGCAAGAAAAATGTCCAAAAACCTTAACTCTCTATCCAGGTAAGAGGAACTCTACAGAATGACAGCCACGCAGACACTGCCCTAGCTTTGGGGCCATTCTTTATATAGAAGACTGTGATGGGGAAGGGAGGAAGATGAAGACTAATACGGGAGGAGAGGAGAGTGCTGGTGGGCAGAAAATCTAGCATGAGGTACAGCCCAGAGCTCCTAATCTCTATCTCTCCCAAAACTCCAATCTGAAAGGCCTCCCTAGGCCAGTGGGCTTCAAACTAAATGCTGCATACATGTGCTGAGAC